TGCAGCATGTACAAATTCAGTAGGGGGCCGGATCTAGTAGTCTGAACAAGAAGCAGACCGTGTCACAGATGATAGATGATAACCACTGACCAAGAACTGCAGACTGCAGGGGTCAGTTCTGCTTCCCTGGAAAGTCAGTGAGAGTTTGGCCGTTGACTTCCTCAAGCAAAGGAGCAAAGCTTCTTCAGTCAGCAAAGTCAAAGGAGCACAGGCTTGAATTTTACAATTTGGTATGAAATACAAGCTGAAGTAAAAATACCTCTCGCTGACTCCCCAGAAAAACTGAAACTAACCCTGAAGAGTAACTGTCAGTAAATCGCAAGCTAGCAGTGTTCTTCAGTAGAAAAGAAAAAGCATGTTGCTAGGGATAGATAAGTACGTTAAGGGAAGGCAGTACAGAACTCAGTGGTAGTTAATGATTTTTAAAAATGAGTGATGGTATTTAAGACAAGGGTATAATATTGTTCCTTTGTGGATCTGATGGGACATTAGAAGGATGAAAACAGAATATGAATGCATTAGGTCTTGCTGACAAGGACGTCTTTTTCAGATGAAGAACTTGTTTAAAAATGCTCCTGATGATTCTTTGATGTCCTTAAAGTAGGTACCTGTCTATTCCTTTCTTCCTCAGATGCTAATTTTTAATCCCCTTGATTAGGTCTGTTACTTCCTATCCCTTCTGGCACAGCCCTGATGCTTTAAGCATAAAATGATGGATGATGACTAACAGGCCAAAGCTGAATATTGGTTTACTTGCCAGCACCTCAGTAACCACATGTCTTTAGAGAAAGAGCCCAGAGTGACATTTGATAAATGAGTAAGATCAGCAATGAATGATGGGAATGATGTCCTGTAAAACAGGATACAGCCCTGCTGAGATCAAGAGAGGACCAAACAATGTGATTAAAGCAATCCAGAGATGCTGATGCTCGCATTTTTTGTATTTATTTGATTTTAGATGAGTTGGTGGAAATATTTTTTTTGCTGTCAGAAATTCTCATTGGATGTTTAGTGTTTATAAGCATGAAACATTTCAATAACAAATAACATCATCAAAGGGCTGTGATAAGATTTAATTTTTTTTGGTGCTTTGACTCTTCCTAATTGCTAAAAATTACTGGGAAAAGCTGACCCTAATTTTCTGAACATCTAAATTCTAAGCACAGTGGACAATAAACAAATATCAAGTGGCACTTCTGCAGTGTTTCATACCCAAACATTATGGTATTAAGAGCTTGGAAGTGCAACTATGTATATATATATACCTACATATATAAGGTGAAATGAAGTAATTACACATGTAAATATTTGCAAAATAAGGTATTTAATATTCTGCTGTTTGCAGTGTCTCTGCACATTTTATACCATTTTATCTTTACAGTGTAAGAAGTTTAGAAGTTTTAAAAGAAGTTTAGAAGTTTAAAAAAAAAAAAAAAAAGCATGAACAGTGCTAAGTTTATAGAAAATATTCCTGTCTGGGGCAGGGGGGGAAAGCTAGAGGAAAGGCAGTTCAGAAAAAGAAAGCCTATGGAAATTTAGGTCTTTATGCTGTAAACACTGTATATGCAACTTGAGTCATCTGAGAAATCCCACTGGTTTCATGTGTAATGTGTCTACTCTGATCTGCAAAGTTCCTTTTGCCTTTAGTCCAGGAAGTTCGGTAGCTGTATTATCCTTCTATTTGTTCTGACTTCCTGTTTGCCTACAGGCCTTTTTTGCCTTATTTGTTCCTCTATGCTTTCATATATCTCCTGTTATTCATAGGTTCAAGCATGGTAGTCCAGCAAATTTGGAGCCCTTTGACTCTTCCATATTTGAGAAGTAGAAACGTAGAATAAGCATGCACAGGTGTCAGTGGTCTGGGATCTGTGTATAGCTTGCAGTTCAGGCTGCTGGGCATCTGGCTCTCTGGTTCTTTCCTGCTAAAACCTGTTGAGAATGGCAGTCTGCTGACCACTATGCAATCAGGTTTGTTCATTGAACATCCCAAATGCTGTTGCTTTTTGGGCTGTTTTATTAAGGAAGCTGATGCCAGGCTGAAATGCCCCTGTGTTTGTGCTAGTTTCACTGGCGTAAACAGCTCTTGGCTTCCTGGTGTCCCTAGCATACTGGTCCTCTAAGTATATACATAGATTTCTTCAACCCTTTCCTTTCTCTTTGAGAAATGAAAGAGAGATTGAAAAATAAGAGCTTTCGTTAAAAATCATTTTTAGGGCTTGTAAATGCAGATGGGAAAGACCAAGACAAACTGTAATTGTAAGGGGAAAGATGAGGGTCCTTCCAGAGCAGGCTTCTATTATTAAAAATAGCACAGCCACACTTGAAAGAAAATAGGGAAAATGCAATCTAAATAAATAAAAGAAGAAAAAACTTTAAAGAAATCTATGTTTACTCTGGCACGCGACTGGCCTACACTGCTTTTGACATATTAGGAAGATTCTTGGCTGGGAGCTCCTAAGAGCACTTAAAAAGGCATATGTTTCTTTTCAGAATATAAGGGACTTGGAATGTTTTCTTTAAACAGAATTCTTATAAATCTTTTATTTTTTATTTAGTGTGTGTGCGTTTCAGAACAATTCCCTTAACTCCATTCCTCAGACCATTTGAAATAATTATTTTACTGACTATTTTTGCCAATTGTGTGGCCTTAGCTATCTATATCCCCTTTCCAGAAGATGATTCCAATGCCACCAATTCCAATCTGGTAAGTCCTTACTGGTGTCTAGTCTTACTACTTTGAAGTCCTTCTGAAAAGTAACTAGAGTGACTGTTGAAACTAAGGAACACTAATATATCCACTGAAGATGAGAACATAATAAAGTGGATTTTGGTTTTGAGTATTGCATCTCTGTTTTATGTTAGCACCTGTTTTGATTGAGCTGGCTTTAAAAAAGAATGTTCCAAAAATTGCATGGATCCTGCATGTGAAGTTTTGGTTAGCAAACTTTTGCATGCTGCAAAAGTGCTTGGTATGTTTATACTGCAGACATTTGCAGAAGAAAACTTTTATTCATGGATTATATATGGTGCTTTTCATCTTACTGAGTACCATTGTGAAATGGATACAGCCTTCCTCTCGGGTGATACGTAGGAGCCAGCTCGATAACTAATTAGTAGGAAGTGCATTCTTGTTTGCTTTTCACATTGAATGTGCATTTGGTAGAACAAATATATATATATTTTTCCTCTTGTTGGGAAAGATAGCTTTTCTTCTGTTGCTATGGGTGGCAATGCTGGTACTTTGGGATAGAGCTGTCCGTGGAACAAGTAAAGAGTGTTTACTTCTGGCTCAGCATGAGGTCGTAGCAAAGAATTCAGTTCAGTATGGCACAAAACAAAACAATTTGGGAATGCAAGCCACTGAATTAGCAGAAAACATTTTTCTTCCTCCCCAGATATGTGAACAAATCTCCTACTTGTCTGGCTGAATCAGAATGAGAACTTACTCCCAGAGTTTAAGAGTTGGGAAACTAATTTCTTATTGAAATTTACTGGGGCATAGGAATTTTTAGAGCAGCAGAGGTGGAAAATAAAAGCCGTACTCCTAAAGTAGGGATAGTTGGGATGGTTGACAGACAGTGTAATTAAAATGATCCATGCTGTTCTCTGGAAGTCAGTTATTTGATTAAATATCTCTTGAAGCTGTATAAAGCAAATTGCAGGCTTCAGGACTTTGCTGGAACAGAACTCCTGGCTAAAAAAAAATCGTAGTGTTATACTTTTCCATTCTAACGCCTTAAAGAAGTTTATAAACGGGAGCAGGAGGAGATAAGTGGTTGTTAAAGTATTTTCTGTATTTACAGTTAATTTCATGTGGGGTTAATTACATATGCGGTTTATAACAAAGGAATTCATGAGTTGGTGTTGTCTCCTGCTGCTGTCTTTTTGCTAGCTTGACTTACTGTGGAACAGCAATGACCTGTCCTATGTATGTTTAGAATACTTCAACCTGGCACCTTTCAGAAATAGTACTTTATATAAAAAATACACATTTCGTTGCTCCTCAGTGTGTACAGAAGACTATGTTTTTAATTACACATCCTCACTTACAAGGTTAAAGGACAAAAATGAAGCAGAGTTGAAGGTTAGAGGACTCTTAATTTGTCTTGAGCTTAACTGAGTGCGGATATTTGCCTTATTTCAGTGATGACACTGCTGGCTCATACCAGGTGGGAGTATATTGAAATAACTTTGTAATTGAATGAGGTATATTGAAACTGTTCAATTATCAGAAAACATAGTCACCTTGTGTGCTGAATTGCCTTTCTGAATCTGTTTTCCAAGATATCTCTTGCCTCTTTTACCTTATTTGACTAATCCCTCAAAATATCCTCGTTATTTGCGGATAGGATTAAAAACAAACGTGAGAATTATCATCCCAGGAAAGTTTAGAAATATTGTAGCTTTGAGGACGAGGAGGTATGGTTACTTTACCTAAATAGCTGTTTCACAGAAGTGAGGAGGAGAGGAAACTACACTGTGCAGTCTGCTTTACTGCACTTTGTTCTCTGGGTCTCAATGAAAAAGCCATTAAAAATGGCAAGGCTTTCACTGGTGGAATTAAGACTCTGTTTTACGTTTTGGAACAAGCTCTGGAGCTTTGACTGCCCAGCAGCCTTTGGTCCTGCGAGCTGAAAAAGGAGCATTTCTTTTCAACATGCAAGTGACAGGATGGAACATGTTTGATCCGGGTCTCGCAATTGTACTTTCATATTCCATTGAATTGAGAACTATCGCCTGTTAGATCTGTGGTTTTTTTTTTTTTTTTCTCCCCTCAGGTTGATATACATTGATTTTGTAGATATGTGCTGCTGTTAGGAAAGGGAAACAAGCTTGCTTTTTTTTTGGTCATACAATTGCATTCCCAAACACTTACCGAATTATAGGTCGTGCTAACTGAGTGAAGTGCTGAGCAATAGCTAGGGGAGAGTGGAGGCAAAAGGGTGAGATATGGGTGGAAAAAATGTGTTAGCTGGGTCTTGGAATGGGATGAAAGAGTAAATGAAACTGAGTTAAAGGAAAGCTGTTCCATATGGCAGGAATTGCAGAAGAGTGGGACCTTGCACTCAAACAGCCAAAGTGTATGTGGGAGACTAGACTGGACTAGGAAGAAGCTGGGATTGGTAATGTGTTCTTTTTGTAAAAGCTGGGATACTTGTTTATTTTTGTTGTTGTTTTTTGGTTTTTAGTTTTCTTCCCCCCTCCCTACCTGCGAGCAAAAATTTTGCAATTAGATTTATCTTGTAGTCATGAAGCTTAGAACTCAAAAGGCTACTATCAGAAACGTGAGGGGTGTATGTCTGCAATGTATGTAGGTAGGTTAATAGTGTGCACAGATGTGTGTACTTGTCAATCAATATAAATCTGATTTGAACATATACAAATTAGATTTGAACGTATACAAAATCTGCCCAGAGAAGTTTTCACTTGTGTAAGAACTCTTGTTTCCTTTCCACTCTGCAATTTAGTCTTTGGGAGATAGTTACCATAGTCATTCCCACATTCCTAGTTTCCTGAGACATCCTTAAGTTCCTGAGATATGGAGAAACTGTCTTCATGAAACACATGATGGATAGTAACTGTTTTACAGGGTCTGAAAAGAGACACAAAGGGTGGACACCAATAAACTACCACTTTTCCCTTAGGGTCTGAGTATTCCTTTTTTAAGGTTTCATCATAACTTTTCAAACAGTGTTTTCTTTTGGGGCTGAGGGTAAAACTCAAACAGTTGTTTTCAATAAACTAATGAAGTAGAGAGTGGCGGGAGAAAGGAATTTTGAACTGTGTGAATGGCTTTTTTGTGTAAAAGTAAAAAAGAAATGACAGCTGAATAACCTTTTGATGAATGATTATCTGCATGAATTTTACAGATGTGATCAGCCATTGGTTAAATGAGGCATAACTATGCACCTTTCATAGAAGTCTGGGAGACACGTACCTCATTAGTGTATACAAAACCCTGTAATATGTATATTCATATCTCCATCTTAATAAACTTTGCCTTTAGGTGCAACAGCTATTCAACATTATGCCATAGTTGTTGTCAGTGTGCATATTAGAACTAAATACAGACGTTCCCAATAAATAATCCTTTTCTTTTTGTGCTACAGAGGAACTGTCATTAGCTGTTATTTTTTTTACAAATTTAGGCCAAATAGTACACAGATGTATTGGCTAGGATCTACTTCTGATAGTAATAATTCCTATAAAACAGCAAGCCACTTATACCAGGTCTAGATATGGTAGCTGGACAATGAAGCACTTTCATTTTTAAAATGCAGAAATTTTGAATTTCTGTGCTCATTAGAGTGTGTTTGCCACTGACTTCAAGAACAATATCATGTAGTAAAAAGAAGTGCTTGAAATTGGCTTCTGTATTTTTTTTTGTGTTTTTATTTTGTGCTGCATTCACTGGAAAACTATTAAACTTGTGCAAATGGAGGGGAGTTGCATTAAGCGTAAAATTGTTTTGGTATTAATGAACTCTGCTGAGGCTTTGCTTGAATTTAAAAGTAAAGAAAGCTCAGGCCCAACTGTGCGTAAAGAATAGTGTTATGTATTCTCTCGATGGAGTCGGGAAAATTGGAGCTAGTTTGAGGGGAATTAGAGTTAGCCTGCATGAGAGGCTGTAACTGATAGAGAGGCTTTCTGCTTGTTATCCCTGCAATTATGCGTTAGAACAGAGATAATGCACATTTAGGAATAAAACTGTAGACTGCCTAAGATAGGAAGCTGAGAGGAAAATGCTTCTGTCATTTTAGTGGCAATTGCAAATGGCAGAAGCCTGGTCAATGTCACAGCATGGCGATAACATAATGAGGTTAAGACCAAGGTTTACCACAGGTTTCGTGGAACGCTATGAAGTCAGTTGTTTATGCCTTGGATAAATAGCAGGAGAAAATTCCTTGTGTTGTTTCGATAGCTCTGCTTTCCTTCCCTTGTCCTTATTACAGGAAGGAAATCCTGTGGTATAACGGTTACATTTTGAAAAGTATCTCCTGCGTTTATATGTGAGTTCATAACTGGATGTCACCTTCAGACTAATTTGCTAAAGCTTGAAATACAACCCTGTGAAAAGAAAGATGAGATTTGGGCTTGCTTGTCAGTGGTTGTGCCAGGTTGTGTTTGTATGGCTACCCACCTATGGAAAGGGGGCTTGCCTTCTGGTGAGGTATGGCTGCTTCACTAACTGATGATTACTATAGTGTCCAGTTGAGTGGATGATCTCTGTACGAAATGAAGAATTTTTAAATATTTTTGCATTTGCAGCAGTCTGACACGATAGATGTGGAGGTGGCAAGAAGCATATTGAATTTCTAGGTACTGGCATAACAAACAAGCATTTTATGTATTGGAGAATTCTGAAGTCAGAACACTGAGCAATATCTCTTATTTTTTCTTGTCCAAAGTCAAAATTTTTAGAGAGCAAAGGGGAAGGGAGTTCAGGAAGAGAAAGGCTGGCATTTGTGCATAAGGGTGGATAGCACACAAGCTCTTGGTTCTCTTCTGCCATTGCTGTAGTCCTCCTATGTGACAGTTTCTAACTTTTGAGTGAATACAGTAATGACATATACTAACATTAAAGGTGAGGTGCTGGGCAGGATGAAGTGGATACCAAGCTAATAAACTCTAAGGCTATTGGTTTAGGCCTCATGCTGTCACTGGCACAGCTTAGGGTTGGGAAGAGGTTTTAGAGTTTGGAAA